TCTTTACAGATTAGCTAACCCCTGTCTCCACCTGGAACCAGCGTCAAACGCTCGCTTGGATCCAGTGGTTGCAACAACAGCCCCGCTCGGGCACGTTGATGGTGGGGGAGGCATGCGTGTGGGGCAGGAGGTCGATGGTAAATCTCTGTACTTTCAACTCAGCTTTGCTGTGCGCCTAAAACTGCAGTAAGAAATAAAGTCTAGCCGGGCCGCGTGGCTCAGGGGTTGAGCGTCGACCTATGAACTAGGTCACAGTGATGGTGAACCTTTTGAGCTCGACTTGTCAGCATTTTGAAAAACCCTAACTTAACTCTGGTGCCGTGTCACATATAGAAATTTTTTGATATTTGCAACCATAGTAAAACAAAGACTTACCTAAAACTGCAGTAAGAAATAAAGTCTAGCCTGGCCACGTGGCTCAGGGGTTGAGCGTCGACCTATGAACTAGGTCACAGTGATGGTGAACCTTTTGAGCTCGACTTGTCAGCATTTTGAAAAACCCTAACTTAACTCTGGTGCCGTGTCACATATAGAAATTTTTTGATATTTGCAACCATAGTAAAACAAAGACTTATATTTTTGATATTTATTTTATATATTTAAATGCCATTTAACAAAGAAAAATCAACCAAAAAAAATGAGTTCACGTGTCACCTCTGACACGTGTGTCATAGGTTCGCCATCACTGAACTAGGAGGTCACAGTTCAATTCCCGGTCAGGGCACATGCCTGGGTTGTGGGTTCGATCCCCAGTGTGGGGCCTGCAGGAGGCAGCTGATCAATGATTCTCCCTCATCAATGTTTCTCTCTTCCTCTCCCTTTCTCTCTGAAATCAATAACAAATTTTAAAAAGAAAGTCTGTTTAAAAAATTTTAAGCTTAGGACCCTAGGCATTAGTATTGTTTTTAAGCTCCTAAAATTGTTATAATATTCCTGGTTCAGACTATTTGGGGACAACTAGTCTGAACTGGGGACAAAGTGACCTTCCTTGAGGTGAATGTCTGAACAAAATGGGGGTTCTGTCGGCGGCGGGGGGGG